TTTTTTTGCATTAGTTTCTTTTTAATTGAGAGCATTTAAACTCCCAATTTCTTAGTGCCATAATGCAAAAAAAAAAACTTTTTATATATATTTATAATCAATATAAATGTAATTTACTGTACAACTAATAACATAACAGTTTTGAGATAGTAGAATAGATAGTGAGGTAGTAATATTTTAAGAATATTATGTAACTGAAAGACCTATTTTGAGAGAATTCTCAAAACATTTGACTAGCATTGTTCCCAAATAGTTTAATAGCACTAAAACACCATCATAATTCATTTATGGTAAAAATATTGAATTGTTTCTTTCTCCAGGACAAATCATTTAGGTGTATTTTATTTGCATACAATAATTTGCACAGCTCATTTGCAACACAAGAAATGAGCCAGTCAGTGAATAAGAATAGGTTGCCACAAAAATTACACCATGATTTGCTATTTTGCAGCATTAAATCATTTGAAAAATCATGTTTTATGTGACAGTTACTAAAAGTATTACCAGCCAGATGGTGAGTAAATAAGTAAACAAGTTACTAGCCTGTTGGTGTGAAAAAAATTCAAGAATGGCCCAGTTTTACTTCTGTTTAGAGGTTGGTGAGTATTTATTGTTAACCTTCAGTGCAGATAGAAATTATTTTACGTGTCTCTTGTATGATTGCATGTGTCCCTATACCCCTCTAATGTAGTGTGTGTGTGTCTGTTGTGAATGAATTAGTACCTGGACCAACTCCAATACATTCAGAGTTTTATTATCATATTAAGTGCCTGCATTGACCCAGATTAAATATTAAATGGGGGATTCATTTATATAGCTTGGAGTTTTAATAGAGACCAATCAGACATTGTCAGAACAGATGAAAGCACTAAACATCACGGCTCAAAGACTGGCAGTGTTTAAGTCACAGGCCGGTCCGTTTGAAAATATACTTCATTTATAACTTAATTTCTTTCTAATGTGCAAAATATGCTAGAGTTTTGAAAAATATTTTATGTGTTACATAATGTGAGACTTCATTCAGTTGTTTATTTGTTATTAATATCTTGTGCTTTGTAGCCATCCATTATGTTTCAGATAAAATTATAAAACAATGAAATGAGATGAAGCATCTAAAGTATTAACTGGATTATTTTTTGCTTAATTTACATAAAAACAACTATATAGGTTACTGTTATTATATATGATTGAGTCATGACGCTCAGCACTAATTGGGTTTCTTACCTCTTGATATGTTTTCTCTTTTTCTGTATCCGTTGCTTCTGCTGTTTTTATAGAGATTAGAAGTTTGAAACTACAGTAGGTTATGAAAGACTGGATCCTCTGTGAGTCAGATCCAGAGTACTGACAGCACAGAATAAATATGACTTTAAGTTGTTTGTGCAAGATATCCATCTCAAAACCCTTTTCATCTCACCCTTAGAGCTATTTTTACATCAGCTCTTGTGTTGAGAAATCTTTTACTTTTTCAAGACAAAAACACAGGAGCTCTGGAACGCTGTTAGACGAGAGAAAGCTTCTCTTAAAAAGTCTCTCTGTGGCTGGATCGTTCCACTCAGCCAGTTACTGTAGTATTACACCGGTGTTTTCTCTCTCTCTCTCTCTGGACTGTCCGTCTATCTGAACTCTCTTTCTGAGGTTTTGTTTTCTCAGTTTGACTCTTCCTGAAGATGCACTGTGGCTCTTTCAGCTGTCTTTCTGTCTGTCTGCAGTGATCTCGACAGGGACTTTTGGAATAACAACGACAGCAGCACTGTGCAGCAGCGCTGGAGCTCCTATCCGCCCAAGGAGTTCCTCCTCAACATGTCCCCCTACGCCCCCTACGGAGACCCTCGCCTCACGCCCAAGTGAGTCTTGGTTTCGGCTGGTAAGGGACCCCTTCTCTCTGCGCAGGGCTGTACTGAAAGGGGAAGTCCATTCAGTCCTTTCTGTTCCGGCCTTCAGTTCCAGCGATCCACTTTAGCTTACAGGGACTTAACTGTACCTGTGTCATGAAACCTAAAAGGTGATTGTCAAAAAGCAATGTTCGGATCATATTTCACCCA